TATTTAATTTAAAAAAAATTAGGTTTATAATAAAATAATCTTTAAGTTTTAGAAGTTATTTTTTTTTTTTTTACTTAGATGTAAGCTATCTTACATTTTTTTTTTTTTTTTTTTTTATAACGAATGTAAAAAAGAAATTTTAATTTTTATTATTTTACATAAAATTTAAAAATTTAATAAATAAAAAAAATATATAACAAAAAAAAAAAAAAAATAAAATAAAATAAAATAAAAAAAAAAAAATTAAATTTAAACTTAATAATAAAATTATTTAAAAATTAAAAAAAATATATATGGAGATATTAACAACAAAAATTAAAAAAAGATTCATAGAAAATAGAACACCAGAGTTAATAAAAAAACTAAAAAAATACATATAATATAATAGAGTATTTACAGCTATTAAAAGTTTTTCATTTTATATGTTCCATTTTTTTTTTTTCTTTATTATGTATAAAAAATAATGTTTTTTAGATGTTATTTTTCTTGTTACAACATTTATTAAAATACTACATTTCTACCTATTATTTTACACTTTGTATCTTATACTTTGTTTTTATTATATAAAGTATCATTTGTCTTTATTTCTAAACGTCTTCCTTTTCTATTTTATATCCATTTTAAGGAATTAAAGTATAGATGAACTTTTTTTTTTTTTCTTATTATACATTATATTATCTTTTTATTTTAATTAATTTATAACATAAAAAAAAAATTATATTCCATCTTTATTTTGAATTCTAATTAATCTCTTCCTCGTATTCTTCTAGCTAAATGTATATCTTTTGGCATAAGTGTAACTCTGTTTGCATGAAGAGAACATAAATAAGCATCTTCAAATAAGCTAACTAAATATGCTTCTGCTGCTGTCTGAAGGGCTAGTAAAGCCTCAGGAGTATATCGAAATTGTTCATCAGGTAATTCAAATAAGCGAGTAATTTCTTTTACTACTCTTACAAATGGTATTTTAGGTATGAGTAATTGAGTTGATGCTTGATATGCTCTAATTTCCTTTAAAGCCAAAACTCCTGGCCTATATCTATGGGGTCTCCTAATGCGTGTTTTGTTCATAACATTTTGAGATAAACCATTTAATTTTCCATTATTCAAATTATTAGATTTTCCACTGATTTGATTATGCAATCTATTAGGTATAGTTTTATTTGTATTAATATTCTTTTCTTTATTAAATGTGCTCACAGGATTATGATTTGGTACATGCTTTTTTGTTCTAACCATTTTTTATATTCATTAAAATTTTACATTGATTCAATAGCTCTTTTTCTTAAATGTTTAAAATTCTATAATATTCAATTTTATTTATCTTTTATATTAAATTTACTTAATTTGATATATGTATATATATATGTATATATAGGTAAAAATAAAATACCTTAACTATATTTTATTTTTCTTATTTTATTTGTTTTATTTTTATTTCTTTTCTTTTTTTTTTTTTTTTCATTTCATTTAACATTATTAATTCATTTCATTTTATTTTGTTCAATTTTATTTATGATTTTTTTTTTTTTTTTTTTTCTTTTTCTTCACAGAGAATTTATTCTATCTATTCAATTAATATTTTTTTTTTTCTCTTTATTTTTATAAGATTTCCAAAGAATAATATATGTTTAAAATTTCGTTTTGTACTACTTACATGAATAATATTAGTTTTATTTATATTAAAAATCGTATATTTCTGAAAGATCAACATAAATATTATAAATATCAAAAAATATTACTTTAAAAATATTTAAATAACTTTTATATAACTTTTTTTTTCCTTCTTTTTAATATTGAAAATTGAGATATAATTCTTTATGAATACAAAGTTTTGCATAATATTCTCCATAAATTTTAATCAAATATATAAATTATTATTTTCAATTAAATTTTGTAAATGATTTTTCGTTATTTATGAAAAAAATTTTATAAAAAGATTATGTTTATTTTTCTTTAAAACATTTTAAAAACAATGCATGAAAGTTTTATTAATATTTTTATTCTGAACTTCTCATAAAAATTATGAACTGTGAATTATATAAATTAAAATAGAACAAAAAAAAAATAAAAGGTAATCAAAAATATAAATTTTTTTTTTCTTGTAAAAAAAAAAAAAAAAAATAAAATAAAAAATAAAACAAATAAAAATATACATATATATTTCTTAATATAATTACTAATAATTCAATAAATAAAGAAAAATTTATATTTTTGCATTATACTTTAATTATCAATATTTATATATACATTATTTTTTATGTATTTATATTGTGTTATGAGAATTCATTTTGCTACTAAATATATTTTGTTTTATTTATTTGTGTGTAAAATTTTTGCACTTCATTAAGATAGAAAATAAAAATTATTTTATTAAATATTTTTTATGCTAATTTTTTACTTCTCAAGTTATTGAAGTTTTTTAAGTAAAAAATAACATGGTGCTGGTAATAAATTTGTAAAGTTGAAAAATTAAATTTTATAATAAAAGAAATAAAGAATAATAAAAAGGATCCGTATATTTTTTATAGTGTTAATTATAAAAATCTTAGTCTGAACTACTAAATTCTTTCAAAGAATATATTAGATAACGCTTTTATTATTCTCTTATTTAAAGTATTGATATTTTAAAAAGAAAATAACAAAAAGTTATAAAAAATTAAAAAGCATATTACAAAAATTGGATTATCAAAATTTTTAAAATTATATACTAAATGTAAAAATTTTAATGTTATAATTATGTATACTTAATGTTACCATTATTTTTATTCTTTCATTCAATGAAATTTATCTTATTACGTTTTTGTTTATTATTAGGAATTTTATAAATCTATTGTTATAAAAAATAAATTTGAGAATATTTCTCCTTTTTTTAAGTTTTTATTAAATAAATATAAAATATAATAGAAAAAAAAAAAAAAGTGTAAATTTTATTAAGCTGAGACTTCGAACTTTAAAAAAGCTATTTATGCATGAAATCGATTGTACATGTTATAATTAGAAAAAAAAATTATAATCATTATTCTGTTTTTATTATAATTACATATTCCCATTAATATAATATTTAATATTCTTGTATTTGTATATCTTAAAAAAAAAGTTTTTTTTTATTTTAAATAGTTTCAAAATTCAAAAATATGTTTTTATATTAAATTTTATATTAAGTGAAAAAAAAAAAAAAAAAAAAAAATTCAATTCTTTGAGGTATTATATAAATTTAAGAATATTCTACGGTTTTATATTTTTTAAAAAAATTCTAAAGAAAAAATAATATAAAAAATAAAATATATTGCAGTATTATAGAAATGCCAATATCCTTAAATAGTATTAATCAAGAAGATCTCAATGAATTAGAAAAAGGAGAAACAATTTTATATAAAGGAAGTCAAATAGAATTTATTTATAATAAATTAAATTTGGGTGAAGGAAAATTATATATATTAGAAAAAAGATTAATTTGGATAAATGAAAATGAATCAAAAAAAAAAAAAGTAACAAATTTTAAAGAATTGGCAACTAATAATATATATATGAATCATTATGAAAAAAATAAGGAATTTTATTTACATCTTTTAAATGATGTTAACAATATTACAATAGATTCATCAAACATCGCTTTACATGCAATATCTTCGGATAAAAAAATATGTGACAGATCGTGTGTATATATACAGTTAAACACAGATATGTCTGATTATTTCGAAAGTGAAAAAGTTAAAGATGATGAAGATATCGAAAATACTGTAAGAGTTAATAACATAAATGATAATGAAGAAAATGATTCAGATGAAGATATACCTTATGATGAGATAATAACACCTGAAATACTAATAATATGTAAAAATGAAACAGAAAATGATGCTATTTTCCGTCATTTAAGTAATATGGACAATTGCTTAAATGATGATAATGATATTGATGATGACGATGAATATAATTATGAAGATAATTATTCATTAAATGAGGATGAAGAAAATAAAGGAGATGAAAAAGAACAATAAAAAAACAAAAAATTGACTTCATTAAAATAAAAAAAAAAAAATTATATTTGACAAGAATTAATTTTATAAAATGAAACATTTGATGTATGTACTAAACTTTTGCTGTTATTTTTCTCGTTTTTATGAGATATTTAATTTTATTATTATTTTATTTTATTTTATTTTATTTTATTATTTTTTTTTTTTTTTTGAATGTTTCAGTTTGTTCTTTTAGAGAAGAGAAAATATTATCTTCCATATAATATTTCTAAAAGTATTTCATTTGTTGAAAATTTTTGTAAAACCTACATAATGTGGGACATTTATTACATATAACCCTATAAATGTTGAAAAAAAATTTTTTTTTTCCTTCAAATGTAAATATGAATTATTTAACTTTACAAAAAGAAAAAAAAAAAAAAAAATACGTAAATTTATGTAAAGAAAATATAAATGTACCATTTTTTATTTTTTTTTTTTATGCATAAGTATTTACCTAATGTTTATATAAGATGTAATATATATATTAACAAATTATTTTTAATAGTTTTAAGTTATAAATTTATTTCCATTGTTATTCACACTTAAATTATTTATAACTAATTATAAAAGTTTGCATTTTATATAATATTTAAATTTAAAAATATAATGAAGTTCAAGGTAATTTTAACAATAAAAAAGACTAAATGTTCGGTTTAAATTTTTAATGTGTATATTTGATTATTTTTTTTTCTCTTTTCTATATATATATATATATATATCTATATTTTAGGTAAATTGAAATTTATTTAAAAATAAAACATTTATATAAAAATAAACAATTATAATTTATAAAAAATTGTATTCTTTTTTTGTGTTAAACTACATTTATCTTTTTTTTTTTTTTTGATATATTTTTAAGATATATTTTAAATATAGATAAAATAAAAATGATCAAATGCTTAACTAAGATGTAAGAATGAACTTTAAGGAGTTTGTAAAAATAATCATTTTTTTACTTTCATGAAAAGTTTTTTATCATTAAATATAAAGTTACATGAAGATACACATAAAACAATAATATAAATTTATATTCTAAATAGTATCTTGTATCCTTTAATAAAAATTATGCTAAAAATATAATGATATAAACATTATTACAACATGTAGTAAATAAATGTAACATTAAAAATAATCGAATTTTTAAAAATATTATTTACACGATATATAATAATTTTAAAATAGTATAAGGAAATTAATGATTCTAATATAAGAATTTTATTATTTAGTTTATGATATTAAAATAATCTGAAAGCAATGAAAATCGTGATGAAGTAACATTTATTAACATATATCTCTATATTTTTACATTATTATTTTTGTTAAATATATTTTTTATATTCATATTGATAATGTCTGTACTTAAAAAAAAAAATAACATAAAAAAGACGTAAGTTGAATGATTAGAAATTTTATAATTTTATACAAAATAATTTTTTTTAAAAATATTTTATATTATAGACATATTCGATGAATAAAAAAATAAGAAAAAATATCTATAAAATATTCAAATATAAAAAAAATAAATGTATGTTTGAAATCAAATAATAGTAATATAGCATAATATTATTAAACCCTATATGTATAAATTAGATTAAAAATAATGAATATAGCAATAATATTTTACTTTTTTATAATAATTTTTTAAAAAATACTATATATGATGATATTGAAAAAATATCTTAAATAAATTAGATAAAAAAAAAAAAATCAGTTATTCTATATATATAATAGTAAAAATATTATAGATAATTTTTATTTAATAATTCATAAGAATAAACAATTATACATAAATTTTTAAATTACCACTGATCTTTTATGTGTTAATCATAATGAATTTACATAATGTTTTGCATAATGTATACAAATAGTAGTTGCATATAAAAAAAAAAAATTTTTATCTAATGAAAATAATCCTAATTTGATCTATAAAATTAAATATTTAAAAAAAGAAAAATAAATAAATAAAAAAAAAAAAAAATCTTTTTTATTTAGTTAATCATAAGCATGTGAAAATAACTATAACCTAGATTTTTTTTTTTTATGAATTTTATAAATAAAAAATTAATCGAATACGTATTTCAAGGAAATATAAAAAAATAATTAAAAATATTTGATGACTTTTTTTTTTTTTTTTTTTTTTTTTTTTTAAAAAAAAAAAAAAAAAAAAAAAAAAAAANNTTTTTTTTTTTTTTTTTTTTTTTTTTTTTGTATAAAGAATAAAATAACAAATAAAACTTTTTTAATTAAATAGATTTTTATATAAATTTATATGTGTTTAAAAAAAAAATAATATATGTATATTAATTGGAAACTTCATAAATGAAATTCTCAAAATATTGTACGACATAAAAAAAATAGGAATTTTTTCTGTTTTTTTTTTGAATTAAAGGAATATTAATAATATTTGCTGTTTACTACTAGAACGAAAAGAAATTATTTAATAAAATTAAATTAATAAGATTAAATTAATAAAATTAATTTAATAAATCTTAAATTGTTTTCAAATAGTAGAATTATTTTAAATAAAAATGATAAAAAAGAGAAAACAATGAGGAAATTAGTTAAAATGTAAATAATACAATTATGTGATCGTAAATATGAGAAAATTTAAATACAATAAATATATATAATAGAAACAAAAAACAGAAAATGAAATAAAAATTAAAATAAAAGCTCTTATTTTTAAAGAATTAAAAATATACAATATGTCTACTATAATGTTTTATATTTTAATTTTTATTTTATATTATTTATTTTTAATGGAACATATAGTAATTAAGTATAAATAAAAAGAAGAATTTACTTAAAGTTGTAATCATGAATATTTTAAGATGGATAAAATACTTTTCAAATAGTTTGAAAGTAACAAAAAATCATATTAATTATTCAACAAATGGTAAAAACTGTGAAATATTTGAAAATGAAAAAAGTTTAGATAAATTTCAGGAATTAAAAATAAATAGAGTAATTTACAAAAAAGATTACAATGATTATATGAGGTTATACAAATTGTACAAACCTAATTACACTAAGTTAATTATAGAAAAAGAAAACTTAAAATTTTCAATTTATTGGTATTTTAATAATAAAACAATATCTGTTAATTCTAAAATATCTAAAAAAAAAAAAAAAATGTTTACAGATATGTTACATATCTTAGAACAAGAATTAAACCAACTAAATTTTAATATTAATAAAAGAATAAAAGGTATTAAAAAGATTATTGAGAAAACAGAAGAGGAAAATAAAAAAAATAAAATCATAAAAATAAAAGATGAAAGTAATAGCAATATAGTTAAAAGAGATGAAGAAAATCCATTTAATATTAAAATAAATTCTGAAGTAAAAAATGAATATGATGAAAGTGTAATTAAAAAGTTAAAAAATAAAAATCTTATAAATTCTACCTCAAAAAATAAATATGTCCTTGATTTAAATACTACTAATATTGAAATAGAAAGAAAAAGTACCATAAAGAAAGATAAAGAGAAAAATGAAAATAAAATAAACTATGTAAAATTATTAAAAATATGGGAATCTTTCTTATTTTACAAAGAAAAGAATAATTTTAAAGAAGAAAAAATATATCTTGAAATTTTAAAAAATTTATTTTTAAAAGCAAATTTTTTTGAAAAAAATAAGAAAAAAGATTTTGAATTTTTTGAAAGCATATTAAACTCTTTACTACTGAAACCAGAAATATTTATAAATGTTTTAAACGTATTGTATTCTTTTTTTTTTGATTCCTTGTATATTCATAAAAATTCAAAAAAAACGAAGCAAATTAATAATTTCATTAGTAAAAATATTAATATAAAAGACAGTAATATAAATTATCATAATAATTTAGAAAATGAAAATATTTTTATTAGAAAAAATAATGAAAGTATAAAAACGCATTTAGTTAAGGATAGTTATGAAAAATGTGAAGAGAAAAATGAAAAGTATATTAGTGAAGATAAAATAATAAATGATAAATTAATTTCCATTAGAGAAGTTAAAAGTGAAGATAGACATAAAAATAATTCATCAGATTTAATTTGCATTAAAATTAGAAGGTATATATTAAGTTATTTATTCAATACATATTATGAAAAATACATAGGATTAAAAAGCTTGCATAAAACGTTTGATTTACACAATTCATATAACTTAAAATTTTGCTCAAAAGAAAATAATTTATATAAGTTTGTTTCATTAGAGGAAATAGATTTTGAAAAAAATAATATTATCTTAATAAGATATAACAAAGAAAAAGTATTTTTACTTGGAATAATTAAAAAAATTCATAAAATTAAAGATTTTTATGTACTTTATTTGGATTTAAAAAAATATAATTCCTATAAATGTGAAAATAATAATATTAGATTATACGAAGAAATGGATATAAGTGATGAATATTTTGAATGTTATTTAAATATTAAAAATAAATGCAATAAATCAAATTTAAATATATCCATTAATGATAATGAATCTACTTATATAAAGGAAAGTTTTTATAATACAAATGAAAGTAAAATTTACGAAGCTGTAACCTTATCTGTTCAGTTAAACACCATATATAATAGAATAAAACATTCTATGTTGGATATTTTTGAAAAAAAAGAATTTTTAAATAATGAAATTATTCGAATGTTACTAAATGAGGATGATCAAACAAATAAAGAAGAATTAAAATTAAATAATTTAGACAAAATTTTAAATAATTCAGTAAACTACAATTATTTAATTGAAGAATCTATAAAAAACTATATATTAAATAATAAAAAGGAAGGAAATTATATTAATATATTAGATAAAGATCTTATTAAAAAGGATAAAATAATAAACAAGTTATATAAGAGTTTAAAAAATAATATAGAAGAATTTACAAAAATGTGTTATATTTATAAAAAATTTGATATTTATCAAAAATCCGTTTTATATGATATTTTAATTAATGAAAAAAAAAAACCTATACATTTGGTGCATGGTTATATTCAAATATACATTTAATTCATTATTTTTTTTTTTTTGTTATTTATATTTTAAAATATTTTATATTTTGATGAATTATATATACATATAATCATATTTATATTCTTTTTCATTTTAGGTGCACCTGGAAGTGGTAAAAGCGATCTAATTTCATTTATAATATATTTTTTAACATTAGAAAAGAAAAATAATGTATTTGTTGGTACTAATAAGCATATATCAGTTCATAATATTAGAAATAAGTTACTTAATTTAAATTTATGTTTGAATAGAGATAATATTAATAAAAGAGTTTATCAAAAATCTGATATATATATTGATACCATATATCAAGCATTTAAAATTAAAGAAAAAAAAATCAAACATTTAATTATCGATGAAGCTTCTAGCTTATCTGAATATAATAGTTTAATTTGTTTAAATTTGAATTGTGATTTTATATACGCTTTTGGTGACGATAAACAATTAACATTTCATAGTTTAATTAATGAAAAAAAAAGATTAGAAATAAATTATTTAAGTATTTTTGAAAAATTAAAAAAACATAATAATATAAAATGCCATTATCTTCTGATACAATATAGATTGATTTTTCCTATGTTTTTATTTACATCTTTTTATTTCTATAATAGAAAATTAATACCATCAAAAAATATTCTTAATAATTTTTTTAAACCTAATATTAATAAAACAAATTTTTTCCATATTTTATCAAATCACTCTTCATTTAATTTAAAAAATAAATTATTTGAAAATGTTTATATTCCAATTTTATTTATCGACACTTATCATGAAACATTAAATAAAAATACTTTTGAAGAAAAAGTAAATTGTTCTTATATAAATCACTTTGAAGCAGAAGTTATTTTAAAATTAACAAAAATTCTAAATATATATAATCAAAAAAATGTAGCTATTTTAACACCTTACACTAGTCAAAAAGTATACATTCAAAATGTTTTAGAAAATAAATACAAGAATAATAGTACATTTGATAATAAAATAAATCAAAAAGGAAATAATGAAGAACCTAAAAATAAAATATATGAAAAAATATTTAGAAGTTCATGGAAAAAATTACAAAATGATAACATATTTTCTGTTGAAGATAACATTCCATCTCATGATAATCATTGCAATAACAATTTAAATTTTTTAAAAAAATGTAATAATAAAATTCTTAATAATCATTTAGATTATTGTTTAATTAATAAAGATGTAAAATTAAATCCTGATGTACATAATAAAAGCTTACTTACATCTAATAAAACCTTTAATTCTTATTTCGAAAATAACAAAATAAAAAATGAAAAGTATTTGCATGATTGTGAAAGAAAATATTATATAAATCATGAAGATTCAAAAAATTCCAGTTATACATTTAGATTTAACAATTTAAGTAAAACAAATGAGTTAAATAGTTTGTTCAAAATAAAAAATATAGGTATACCCATTTATAATGCAAATAATAATAAAGAAAATTGTAATTTTTTGTATAAAAGTGTTCATACTATTGATAGTTATCAAGGTTGTGAAAATGATTTAATTATTATAAGTACAGTTAGGTCTAATGATAAAAATATACTAGGTTTCTTAACTGATGAAAAAAGAATGAATGTTTTATTAACTAGAATGAAAAAGGGTATTATTATTATTGGTAATTCAAATACATTAAAAAATAATTTTTACTGGAAAGAATTTATATATTTTCTTGATTTTTTTAATTCAAGAAAATCAATATTTGCTTTTCCCCTCTTAAATATCTTTAAGTGAATATTATATACAACATTCGATATACTTTTTTTTTTTTTTTTTTTTTTTTTTTTTTATTTTAAAAATTTTTT